CATTTTCATCAAAAACTCGAATAACTTAAAACGCGCGCTCTAGGTGTGTTATTTAAAATCAGCGAAAATTCAAAAGTTGGCTATGAAAATAAACGTCAAACAAGAAAGTAGGTCATTTAATGTGATCAGTAGGAATTGGCTGGCAAATTATTATTTAGATACGTAACAAAATAACTTAAAGTAAGTACAGATACTGAAATGTGAAAAACTGGGATTAACAACTAACCAAAATAAACACAAAAACTTAAACAACAACCAGAACAAACAATTGTTTATCGATAAATTAAAGAAATTGTTCAAAATGATCGCCGTTTTCTCTTACGCATAAATTTATTCTTCTTCGAAAATTAAAATCCACCCTATCTAATAACTGTTGATTATTCCTAATAGATGTGCATTTATGAATAATGCGATTCCATAATTCTTCTTGAGACGCAACGGGCGAAGAATACACAAATTCTTTCAACGTTCCCCACAGAAAGAAGTCACATTTGTTCAGGTCAGGTGATCTTGGGGGCCAACGTTGTGGGCAATTATTTCCTCTTCCTATCCATCTATTGGGATACTGGTGGTTTAAAAAATTTCTTACGTTCATACTAAAATGAGGCGGTGCTCCATCGTGCATAAACCAATGTTGCAACCTTAGTTGTAAAGGTACCTCGTCAAGTAGATACGGAAGGGTGTTTTGTAGAAATTCTAAATAATTTTCACCATTCAGCAGATTCGGTAAAACAACAGGACCAATTAAATATCGATCAATAATTCCCATCCAAACATTAATTTTGAATTCACGTTGGAAATGCCGAGGAGTTATTGCATGTGGGTTTACGTCAGAATACTCATGATAGTTATGGAGATTTGTGATACCTCTGCGAGTGAAAGTCGCCTCATCCGTAAAAAGAATTTTCTTTTGGAAGTTATTATCTTGGTGTAGAATAAACTGACAAAAATTGACACGTTGAACCAAATCTCCGGGTAAAAGTTCTTGGACTTTTTGTACATGATAAGGGTGTAGTAGATTGCGACGGATAACTCGATGCACAGAACTCTGCGATATACCAATTTGTCGAGATAAATTCCTAGTACTAATATGTGGATCATCTTGAATAGCATTTAAAATGGCTACCTCAACTTGTGGCCTGAGTGCGACAGCACGTTCTCGAGTATTATTGAGAAACTTGCCCGTTTCTCTAGCTCGTCTTTCAACATTAGAAAATGTTTCTCTATGGGGAATGATACGGTTAGGAAATCTTCTACGATATTCTTCTACACTTCTTCTACAGTTTCCTTCACAAAAACCTAGCACTAACAGCATGTCAACTTGCTCGTTAAAAGAAAACTTCCCGTTCATTTTAAAAACACTCAAACAACAATTACTTAATTGAACAACTTACTTGCTTCATTGTCAAGTTTGACGTTTATTTTCATAGCCAACTTTTGAATTTTCGATGATTTTAAATAACACACCTAGAGCGCGCGTTTTAAGTTATTCGAGTTTTTGATGAAAATGATGAGTTTTTTCGAAAAATTACTAGAGTAAGAAAAGTTTAAGAATTGAATTGCCCACAAAACAAAGCAAAGATTTTTAAAATCCATCAAGGGTTAACAAAATTCTGTTGAATATTATTGGTGCGCCACCCAGTATACCCCCTTTACAAATTTAAATTAAACTCTAGTTACTGTCAAGTAACGCCCTAAATACATCCACAAAGTGTACCAAATTTGGTTGCTTTAAGTTCAAGAATAACGGAGATATTGATTTTTTTCAAAATTTATAACTTCACTTTCAAAGCCTATAACTCCTTAGGGAAGCAACTTGGTATAGAGGTAAGTTGCGTTAAATTGCCATATTTTGGGTCCCCCTATATGCCCCTGCTCTATGTCGGTTCTTATGTGAATCACCCTGTATTTATAATGGTATTAAAAAAGTGGTATATTTGAATTTGACTTTCGTATCTAATTACAAACCTGCTGACAGATGAAAGAATATTGGAAAAGGATTAACAAATTAAATATCAGAAGATTCGGTGCGATCTATTAAAAAAACAATTTTTTACTTTTTTTCAAAAATGTTACCTATTGAAAAACTATTTGGTGCGACACTGGATTATAAATAAAGCTGCTTTTTTAAAAAAATGCTTACTTCAAACATTTTTGTTTTGTAAAAGAGAGAATGTAAATATATGTAAGAGTTACAGTGGCGTGCGGTAACATTTTTGGAAGGGGAAGCGATTGTATAAAAATACAGCAAACCAGTAAGCACAGCGCCGCAGACGAAAATTTTTCGCGGCGCATTCACCATTTTGCCAAAATCTTCCCTTTTTCCTCAGTACTACGGATATTCGAAATTGAGATTTTTGATGTGTTACTATTACTTTATTACCTAGTTTAGTACTAGAAGCTATAAAAAACTTACCATTGAAAAGCTTCCTTGGTTTATTGAAACGTAAAAAAACATTTAACTGAATTTTTTTTTTATTTTTTCCATACTGACTACTGTCGCGGCAAAGCAAGGTTAATAACACGAAAGCCGTTTCATCTTCCAATTGATTTCGCAATTGGAAGATGAAACGGCTTTTTCAAGACGCGCTTCCGCCGGCGGACTCGAAGTATATGGTGTGTACGTTTACACAATTAATATAGGTGGTGCGTGCGTTTACACATTACACCAATAAATTGTTAGTACATTTACGAAGTTTACGTAATGTGTCAGAGAAAATATAGTACTTACCTAATTTAATATTAATTTCTATGCATTGTAAACTGAAAAATATTTATTTTTAAATCTCAAAGTGTAGGACGCGGTGCTTCCCCTGCTTCCATGGACCGCACGCCCCTGAAGAGTTATTTGGAGAGATCAGAACATTGGAACGGCAATCTAGAGGCGCGGGTTCGAGCCTAGCCCGAAATTTTTTTATTAATTTTCTCGATATCCCCTGATCTTTCTAGTATTTGTTTCGGCAAAAATATATCTAGATAAACACCTTCAGTTTTTCTCCACTTTTAATATTAAATAACTGATCAAATAGAATTAGTGGTGGTAGACAATGACGACGAAGACTTTTTTGAAACATCCCGTTATTTTATATTCTATATAGTCGTATAGTCATAGTCCATTAAGAAAATTAATTTTGCAATTACGTATAGTACGAGTATCCTCCATAATTACTTTTTTAATAAATTATATACCTTCATAGTTAAATATAGTGGTGTACACTTGTGTTATGGCGCTTATAACGTTCTTCTGTTATAACAAGCCATTTTAATTAAATTTCCTCCATTCACTATATGAATATTCCCCTCTTTGGTAATTAAACAAGACACACGTCATCCGTTCTGAAGGGCTGAAGGGCTATAGGGAGGAGAATTTCATATATTCATGATCATCGTGATAAATTCCAACAACCTTAGCATTATAGACTAATTACTTCAAAATTAAGACGTTTAAAATGTGTCAAAACTGGTAGAGATAAAACCGGTTATACCGAGCGACGTGAAGCAAGACAATTGGATCAACCTCGTCAACTTTAAAACGTTGCAAAGATTGATCACAATGAAACTATATACAGTGGGTTTCTTAATTTTAGTCTCTGACCATAAAAAAAACAAATTGTTCAAGCAATTTTTTAATATTTACAAATTAGGGATATTACGACCCTTTTAAGTTATAAATAAGTACGAGTTTTGGAATGTTATTAGGACAGATACCAATAATAGTATAAACCCAGTTTGTAGCTTGGACTGAAAACATTCATTTGTCAACTGGCATAATAATAACTAAAATAAAATGTCTAATCTAAAATTAAAAATGCGACCCAATTGCTTCTATACATTTCTGACATTTATTTGTCACGGATCTGGTATCTCTAACAGTTTCGGAGATCGCAATACATGCATCACCAATTTCGGACACACTGTATAACAATGATTATAGAGAATGAAATGAGCAACTTTTATTTGACCTAACCTAACAAGCTAAATTCAAGATCAACAGTCTCGAAAACCCATCCAGAAGCAAAATCCCTCCCATTTACCTCAAAATTTCCCTACTTTCCCCAAATTTACCCCAAAATTCACATAAACCCACCCAATTCCCCCAATTTTCCTCATTCTCCTTACAACTTTCCCCCATTCCTCTACAAATTTCCCCATATTTCCTCATTTCTCCACAACTACATCCCCACAAATTTTTCCACTTCCCCACCCCTATTTCCTTACAATTGTCCACAACTTTTCCCATTTCCCCCCAAATTTCCACACCCTACCCCTCTTTTCCACCCACTTCTCGCACAAATACAAGGTATATTCCATAAAGTATTAAAAACACCTATAAAGTAACCCCAGATGTTCCGACTATACTCAAAATCTAATCTAATCACTACAGGATGGATTGAAGATTAAATTTAACATTTGGAATTTTTATCTTTATCCGTTCTTGAGTTATCGAGTATACAGACACCCAGAGATATACATACACACAGACATTATCGCGAAAATAGTCAAAACGGATTCAGGGGGTCCCAAAACATAAAAATCCGTCGAAAACTCGAAATCAAAAGAAATCATGATTCCTATACTTTCGTTATCTGTATACAGACAGGAAAGTAAGAAGTATTTTACTAATTTAAGGACCTGGGCTGTGAAGAGTTGAACGAGAGGTGATGGTGGGACCTCAGCTTATTCCTGCGACTTAAATACATAATATATTACAACGAAGGTGTAGGATATTAGTCTTATCTAATTTACACGCTTAGTGAGACAGTCATTTTATTTTGGAAAGTCTAGCTTCGCCAAAGGCATTTATTGAGCTCTGGATACTCCTCTGTGGTCGAATTAGATCTACTACTAGAAACTAGTGGTAAAGAATCGCCGACGCCGTCTTTTTTATCCGACTCATCTATGGCTAAGGCACGAGTTTTCTGGTAGGTCTTCCCCTGACAAACTTTGCAGAGTGCAGAACATGTCAGCCTTACTTTCTGGCAGAAAAAGCTTTTTGTCATCTACGTGACAGGTATTTCAGCAGAGTTAGCGGAGCTGTTTCCTTGGTTGAGGCAAACAGGTGTCAGATCCTGCTGGCTTCTTCTCCATCTCCAGTTGGTGGGCTTTTTATCTGCTCCCAACCACTGTAGGAATATTGAGCAGCAGCCTCTTCGCTTTGGGGGCAGACGAGCGTGGTGGACTTTAACGTTGGCAGAAAATATGACAAATGTCCCGTAAAGCAGGGCGTGGAGAGAGTCGCTTTCTTCCTCACCACACAGCTCTACGAAACATTTACTGCCAGCAGAAGCTATCTTCTCAAAAGTGGCATCATGGTGCAGAAACGTTGTAGCCGTTTTAAGAAGGTCGTTCAACATCTTCGTATTCCCTTGCCAGAAAAGGGTAGAGATAGTGTCGCAACCAGTGAAGATATGATGGGATAGCTCTCCTCGAATGAATGATGTTGAAGGGAATTGCTAAGGAGCACCAAGAAGTCGACATCTTTTCCAGCGATTATTCAATGATCTCTCCACATCATTAATTATTTGCTGATGATTTGAAAATTTACTCAAATGTGACTTCTCAATTACACTGTTTATTTCTACAAGAATTGAATAACATTTCTGATTGGTATACAAGTAACAATCCCAAAACCTGGGAAAATGGGACAGGAAACGGCAAAGTCCCTAAGACCAATAAGTCTTATGTCCTTCGTACTTAAGACTTTGGAAAAACTGCTAGATAGGCATATGAGAGACGGGATATTGGTTCAAAGGCCAATATACCAAGACCAATACGCCTATAGTGCAGGGAAATCAACTGAAACAGCTCTCCATCAACTAATAAAAAGGGTGGAGAACACACTGGAAAACAAGGAGGTAATGCTGGGAGCATTCTTGGATATCGAGGGTGCATTTGACAATACCTCCGTTGAATCAATCATTAGATCTCTCAAACACAGAGGAATCGAGGACACATGCGTGTCCTGGATCGACTCTATGTTAAGGGAGAGAACTATACACACAACCCTTATGGGAGAGACAACAGCAACACGGGTAGCGAGAGGATGTCCACAGGGTGGAGTGCTGTCTCCACTCCTGTGGAACCTTGTAGTGGACGGGCTGCTTAGGGCTCTCAAAGATAAGAGACATAGAACCCTGGGATATGCCGATGATCTAGTGATCATGGCACAGGGAAAATACTACACTATAGTAAGAGATCGAATGCAAGAGGCTCTAAATATAGTAACAAAATGGACAGAGGCGGAAGGACTAAACATTAGCCCAAACAAATCTGACATAATTGCATTCACCCGCAGGAGAAAATTGGAGGGACTAGGGCCTCTAAACCTAAGAGGTGCAAGCATCCAGCTTAAGGGGGAGGTAAAATATCTCGGGGTTATGATTGACTCGAGACTTACCTGGAACCAGCATCTAGAAAGAACCACAAGGAGAGCGGAAACCTCATTAATGATGGCAAGGCGATCCTTTGGAAAACAATGGGGGTTAAAACCAGACATGGTATACTGCCTTTATAACATGGTGGTGAGACCCATAATAACATACGCAGCTTTGGTGTGGTGGCCAAAGACACAGCAAAGGAAAGCAATAACGAGGCTAGGCAAGGTACAAAGACTTGCCTGCCTCGGAATAACGGGGGCAATGAAAACAACCTTCACTGCTGCAATGGAAGCACTTATAGGACTCCCACCTCTTCACTATGTGATACAAGGGGAGGCAAGATTAGGTGCTTACAGATTAGGGAATACACTGGGAAATCTTGACATTAGGCCAGGTCACATGAGTATCTCAAGGTTAGTGACAGGAGACGTGCTAGACATGAGATCAGACCACATAACCAAGAGGTACTCTTTTAATACTCCCTTTGAGGTTTTAATACAGGAAAGAACGGAGATCACCATAAGGGAGCCCAATGCCCAACGACAGGAACAAACCTGGTATACAGACGGGTCTAAGACTGCGGAAGGCACTGGGGCAGGAGTATTCTCCAAAAACCCTGATACTAACCATAGCTATGCTATAGGAATACATTCCTCGGTATTTTAGGCCGAGGTATACGTAATTTTGCAATGTGCAAAAACGAACAATGAAAGAGCTGTCGAAAATCAGCATATTCAAATAATGTCAGACAGCCAAGCGGCACTTAAGGCCATATCGAGTCAGAAAGTTACGTCGAGGATGGTATGGGAATGCATCGAAGAACTTAGAACACTGGCAGACCGAAATAGAGTAAAACTATTTTGGGTGCCAGGTCACAAAGGGATCGAAGGCAACGAAAAGGCTGACGAACTTGCAAAAAGAGGGCCAGAAGAAACACCGGAACCAGACACAAACCCAGGAGTACCAAAAAGTACAGTCCGGGGTTTTATAAATGACTAGATTCGGGAACAACATATCAACTATTGGGGAAGCACCCCAAAACAGGCACATGGAAAAGCCTTCATAGGCAGACCATGTCCCAAAAGAACTGGAGAACTACTCTTAATGAATAGGAACCAGTTGAAAGTGATAACAGGGTTCATGACTGGGCACGCCCCAGTAAAGGAACACTTGAACAAAATTGGCATGTACAATGGCGAACTCATGTGCCGACTATGTCACAAGAAACCAGAAACGGCCAAACACATACTGTGCGAATGTGAAGCTCTAGATCGCAAAAGGCAGGCTATTTATGGACAACCCCAGGTTGATCCAACAACGTATAGAACCCACTCACCCAAGGATCTGTACAAACTTGTACAAGGTACAAAGGTGATAGAGTGGGTGCTATGAACTAACATGGGGTAAAACACAATAAGCCAATAGGCTTCAGTGTTATTCGGAGACACATAGTCAGACGAGCCCAGGAAAAAAAAATAATCTCTTCCTAAATTTGGATAAATGTAAAATTTGTACATATGGTCGCAAACTCCATCTGGTTTTACATGATTATCAAATAAATAACATAGAATGTGCAACAACTTTAATCATGTGGCAAACTTATGCGATATTAACCATGATTCTCTAACACTAATTTTAGATAAATTCAGTCAATATTTTTATTTAAATTTACTTTTACAATAAGTCTTTAACTTTGATTTTTTGTATAATTTTCTGATATTCTAGTTGTTGCTGTAATATAATGTAACGTGAACGGAATAATGTTCATGATTTCTTCTTCTGTTTTTCCCCCTTATATACATATATTTTTTTTTTAGAACTTTAAAATGTGTTTGCTAACTGTATGGTATTGATTACGTCTACATCTTTAATGTGTAACTGTATTATACTAACATGTATGTATTCTAATTTATAGTGTCTTGTAAATGGAGATTTTCTGTTGGACAATAAAGACTTTATTTATTTATTTATTACAACGTGCTCAGACTCTTCGCTCTTCTCCAATGCAGTTCTTATAAGGAAACAGTCTGCATCTTCTGGGGCTTGCTTCGTTTCGATCCCTTGCTTGTTTCTGTATGTTCGGACTGCTACCAGCTCACAGATTTTTGACAGGCCTACCAGTTTAACTGCACAGAATTTTTCAAAACATTGTAGACAAACACTAATTCATGATGTTCTTCAAAAAAATCAGCCATGCATTCTGGAATTGAATACTGACACTTGCAAATTACTTACACAACTATAAGGCAGTTTTAAGTTTTAAAAAAATATCTCTTTAATATTAATAGGGAGGGGATATTAGGGTTACCAGACGTCAAGAAAAGTCCGGACATATCCGGAATTGTAGCGTTTTGTCAGGAATGCGCCGGGAATTATAAATTGTCGGGAATTTTCAGGAAAATCATCAATCGCGTTAGGGTATACTTAAAATACCGTATAAACAGTTATTTTAGCAGTTGAAATTAACTTTTTTTATTTTATGTAAATATTTAAAGAACAATTGTTGGCTACTGAGGTTGTATTTATGTATGCCTTTGTATTACATAATGTTTTATGTTTAATTTCACGAATTTTTAATTGAATAACTGTTTTTGTTTTTAATTATTGACGGTAGGTACTTTTTTAATGACACATTTAATTTCATGAGTTTTGTCTGTAGTTTTATTATTTTGTTCAGAGTTTTATTATTTTTTCCGCAGTTTTATTATTTTGTCCAGAGTTTTATTTTGTCCGAATTTTTAAAGAACTGTCAGGAATTTTTATTAGGAATGTCAGGAAACTGTATTTTGGAATATGGTAACCCTAGGGATATAGAGTCTGTAACGCCACTGATAGATTGTATTGTATGTTTTAATTGAATGAAGTTTATTCAATGTGCATTGAGAACAAAGTTTCACATATATCAGGAAAGTTTGTGATTGCGTAAGTACAGGTACCTAACCTGACAATAAAATTATTATAAAACGAAAACGTAATCCGAATAGGAATATAAACGCCAAGTGGATTCATTAATTCCGCCTCTATTAATCCACGTAGAATAATTACCTCTTATTCGAGTAAATAACACAATCAACACAGGGGTAATATTAATTAGGCTCCCGCAGAGCAAAATACGGATTTTGAGAGAGAGAATGGCTTTGTTTCGGAACCGTTTGCAAACTAAATAGAAGGCCGGGCCGCGTTTAGCGCAAGTGTAAAGCTTTGAACGGTAATGTAAGCGAGACTACTAGTTGTTATGTGTGTTTACTAATAAAACATATCGGTAATTAAGCGTTGCTAATTCGGTAATAAGCATCCACAAACACAGAATTCAATTAGCGTCAGCACGGGTGGCCTCTGCCTCCTCTGGCTCTCCGGCCGCCACGCTGTGCCGTGTGCGGCTCGCGTATCGCTCACCTATGGGTAATGGTAATGATAATGATACGGTTTGCTCAGATGTCTGTTAGTTGCCCTTCTGTACATTCGTTACATCTCAAATTGGCCCTTTAACAGCCATAATTGCTATTGTACGAGGATAAAAGTTCGTTTGAAATTCTGATTAACATCATTAATAGCTTAATTATTATAGAACAACAACAGAGAGACATACATTGAATGGGGCATGTTCAAAAATTTTGAAATTTTTTTTATGAATAATAGAGTTGAAAATAAAATTACATTTTTTTTATTTTTTTTTTTATCTATTCATTTGCCGGAGTTATGAATTTTTTTAAAATTTATGACGTCACCGGGAATAGACCAATAGGAGCTAGCGCACAACGTTGCCGGCTAGAAGGTTTACGAGAAGTGATGTACGTTCGTTTGTGTACTCCTTCTTACTTTTAGACTTCTAAAACATCGTTAAACAAATATCTTTTAAATATATAATATCAAATGTTTTTTTAAAGTATTATTTCTGTTTAAACTTTTACCATATTTAAAGTTTCATTGTTTTAAAAGTCACTTAATAATTCAGAAAATGGCAAAATGGCAGCACT